GAGTCTACTACTACAGCATCTACTTCATTAGAGGCAGTTCCCTCCTCATTTGTACATGTCCATTCAGGTATTCGTGATATTGTGAATCGTGCTTCTATCTCAAGTAATCGTAAGATCCCTTGGATAATTGATTCCGATGCCTCCGCCCATATGACTAGTTTATCCCATTTATTTTCTAGTTAACCAGCTTTTATCAAGTCGAGATAAGATTATCCTTGTTGATGGCTCTCTTGCTCCTATCTCTGGCAAGGGAAACATCAGAGCTTCAGACACCCTCGCCTTAACCTCAGTCCTTCTTATTGTGTTTTTTTAGGAAATGGACCTCAAAAGGTGATTGAGAGTGGCCATGAGGCAAATGGGATATGCCTACTGAACATGCCTGGACAAAGTCAAGTATCACCTCCGAGAGCAGCTTTTGGTTCAAATGTGTCAGAGTCAATCAATCGTATTATCTTATGTCATTATCGTCTGGGCCATATTTCTTTTTCTTCGGTGAGTCTTTTGTTTCTGGCTTTGTTTAAAGAAACTAAGTTGTCAAGTCTACATTGTGAGTCATGCAATTTGTCAAAGCATTGTAAAAACTCTTTTTTTGCAAGTAGAAATGGCAAAAAGTTAATCCAACCCGCAAACCCGACCCAACCCAACCCGAAAAAACAAGGTTAGGGTCTCATATTTAGCTACATGAATGTGAGAATGACCCGACCCGACCCAACCCAACCTGGAAAAAAATGGGTTGGGTTGGGTTGGGTCATGGGTCAACACGCTAACCCGATTGTCAAGTCTAATTAAGACTATTTATGCACTGTTAGAAGTTTCCACTCTTTAATTTTTTCTATTTAGTCTTTACTCTTCATTGTTTACTCTATAAATTGTTAAATGTTCAAATTTTTTATTTTATATTTGGAATTTCAAGGTTAATTCCTTTAACTTCGGCATTTTTCATGTAGTTTTTCTTTATTTTTTAAATTTCAGTTATTTATTAGGATGACCCGAATTGACCCATGGGTCAACCCTAACCCGAACATTAAGGGTTAGGGTCTAGCATTTGATAACCCAACCCGAAATTCAACCCGAAGTGTATTTACCCAACCCAATTGCCAGGTCTATCTGCAAGTAATAAAAGATCTATAATTCCTTTTCATATTGTTCACTCTTATGTGTGGGGGTCATAACATTTACTTTGCATGGGTGGATATAAATAATTTATCATGTTTATTGATGATTTTTCTCGTTACACCCGGCTTTATCTTTTGTGTTTCAATGCTAAAGTAGCCAAACTTGTAAAACAATTTCATGAATTTGTGCATTCATCAAAAAAAAAATCATGAATTTGTGCTTAATCAATTTGATACCCGCATCAATATATTTCGATCAAATAATGCTAAGGAATGGGGTAGCAGGGAATGTTAACCTGGTTTTATCTTGTTTCATACTTTGAGAAGTTTGGGGTTATACATCAAAGTTTTGTCCCTATACTCCATAACAGAATGGTATAGGAGAGAAAAAGAATCGGCATGTTGTCGAAGTAGCCAAGAGCATCCTTTTTGCCTCCCATGTTCTAGTGAGATTTTGGGGTGATGCAGTGATGACAACTATCTACCTTATTAATTGCATGTCTTCTCGAGTATTGGGGTTCAAATCTCCCTTTGGTGTCATGTTTCCTATGAGTGAATTGTTTCCAATTCCCTTGCGTATCTTTGGGTGCACGAGTTATGTTCATGTCCCTAGCTCTCAGAGACATAAGTTTGAACCTAAGGCCTAGAAGTGCATTTTCTTAGAGTATGCCTCCACACAAAAGGGCTATTGTTGTTTTGATCTCACTAGTGGAACTCGTTTTGTCTCTAAAGGAAGGTTAGATCCATCATATGGATGGCCGAACCATGCTAGATGGTTGGGTGAAATTTCAAAATTTTTCTTGCAACCTTCCGGGAATCGTATTCCCAGTTTTAAAAAAACTGCATTTTTCAATGATCGTTCTTGCACCAAAACCGGACCAATTTTGAAACCAAAAGGAAGGGAGAAGTATACCTGATACAAATTCCACAAGTGTAGTTTCCAAAGTGGTAGTTCATGCCCAAACTGAATCCCAGAACCAGCCTCCACTGAAGATGGCACAACTTGGAATGAAGCCGGTTCAGCAACACAGTTTTCACCAAAATTGCAATCCAACATATTGGATCGTACAAGGGAGGTGAGCACGAAATAATTCTGATATTTTCATGCAAAATCAGAAATCAGAACTGATCAAGATCAGAGTCACAAAGGTGGAGAACGAATTAGGGTTTCTAGGGCGGCAAGAGCAGAGAGAGAGAACTGATAGTAGATGTGCAACTGGAGCAGTTCAATCTCTCCTTACTTATACCTTAAGGAGCACCACTCCTAATCAAATTAGGAGGTTCTTAATCCAAATCTTTATTTGGATTTGRACTCTCTAAGTGGATAAGACTTAACTTCTTATCCTAATGGATGCTCTAGACCCTTATCCAAACCCATATTCACCCAAGTCACATGACTGCTTAAGTTGTCATGTGACCACTTGATTAATCCAATTAATCATGAGTTTTAGGCCCATTAAGTGGTTCGCGTCCCTAGATAGTTGCTGGCCCATTTAGGTTCACTTTCTATTGCATGAGACCCCAACAATGACCTTACATAAGCCCACAAGGGTTCGGCCCAACCTCTATGAAAAGGCTTAGCCGAATTCACTGTCAAGTACAATGAACCCCTGAATCCATCAGTATAGGCTCTTAATGAGCCCAATATTTACAGTAAATGATCCTTGAGTCTAGACATCCTATGAAGGCCCAAGGATAATGGACTTAAGTAAGATATAGCCCATCAGGTAAACAGCCCTTAATGGTCTCTTACACTAACCTCTCAGCCCATAATCATCAAACACTACCCGATAGGGAAGGACCTCTCCCCTGGATGCAAGGTGCAGTGTTGCACTCTCTACTCGAATGGGTCCCAGGAAATAAAACCTTTTACAAACCCTTTTTTCTTAAAACATAATATATATGTTATCATATAAATATATTTTGCAAAACAAATCTCAAACACGGTTGAAATAGACTGCTGGCAATTTTAGTTTCCATCAGAGAGAGTGCAGTCCCGATCATTCACTTTGTCCGACAAAGGGGCTGATCCTGTCATTATGATCACCCACTCGAGTGAATTCTCAGACTGCCCCAACATACCCAGGTTTTAACCCCCAAAGGATCTCATTGATTGGCATATCAAAGACAACCCAATTCGACACCTAGTGCACTACCATAATCGAATCTAGGGGCTAGATGTAACTTTCCAATTTTGCCCATCAGTCTCCAAGGTCCAGGGCATAACTGGAAATTAGTCTGGGTTTAGTGTTTCAAACAAACACACACYACATGTGCTTCGGGTCCAACCCTGGTAGCTGAGACAGGTTGCCCCAACCTTTTTGGCAGCACATCAGTATCAGCCTTGGTAGGATAAACTCCCCAAGTCTATCAAACGGTTGAGAATATTCTAAACTAACACGAGTCTCATAAGTGTCCAGTTTAAGGGGTAATTACACAGAAACACATCAATCATAACATGAAACAATTATGTACCTTTACTCATTTACAATAAATGTATTAGTACATCAATTTGATTGGAGCTAAAGGCATACACTGTCTAACAGTCTCCATAGATATTACCTTTGTAGAGTCACTTCCATTTTATGGTCATTCTTCTGAGGGGGAGCATTCCACTTAACTGTTTTCTCCACCACTTCCTCAACCTTCTCTTATTGATCCTAAGGTTGAGCCTCCTGTGGTTCCTCCTGCTCCAATGGCAAAGCCTTCATCTCCCAATTCTACCACTCATGCTCCTCCTACTAGTCCTCCAGTTTTCATTACTCATCTTATTGTTCAAAGATGGTACCAGAGACAAAGGCTACGGTATATGATCAGGTTGTTTCCTCATCTACAATTGAGCCTCAGACACTCTCAACCCTGAAGAGAGGACAAGCCCTTCACCATCAAGTTCTTCCCTCCCAGAGTTGGACCTACCAATTGTTGTGAGAAAAGTTAAGAGGAAATGTACAACACATTGTTTTCCAAACACCTGTCTTACAACCTGTTATCCCCATCTTATTATTCATTCTTAGCCTTCATTTCTTCTCAGCCTATACCCAAGTCAGTCATAGAGGCCTTGTCTAAGCCATAATGGAAGGAGGCTATGAGAACTAAAATAGCAAGCCTTCATAAAAATCATACCTATGATATTATGGATTTGCCTCATGGGAAGGAACTGGTGGGATGTAAGTGGGTGCTCACTATCAAGTATCATGTTGATGACACCATTGAGAGGTATAAGGCTCGGTTAGTAGCCAAGGGTTATACTTAGGTATATGGAGTTGATTGTATGGAGACTTACTTAGTAGTTGCAAAAATGACCATAGTGAGAGTTCTTTTATCCTTTTTTTTAGAAAAGTTAACCGATTTCATTTTATCCTTTGTAGTGAGTTTCGACTAGCCCTTACATCAAGTTGATGTGAAGAATGCTTTCTTAAATGGAGACTTGAATGAAGAGGTTTATATGTCACTTCCACTAGGTATGTATGGTATGGAAATGCAAGGCAAGGTATGCAACTTGAAGAAAAAGAAAGCATGCATCTAACCAAATTGGCTACAATACTACAATCAATTAATGATTTAATTATTTAACTTGGCGAACCGAGATTATTACTTTCATCAATAATGCAATGACTAAACACCAAATTGAGTTTTTAACTGGAAAAAACATATATGTACTCATTTATTGCCATACTAAACAACTTTTGAACAAGATCAAGTAATTTGTAATTTTATGTTTTCCTCATCAAGTGACCAAAAAATTCACTTAAATAGATGTGTAAAATAGAGCAAGTTATAAGACTAGTTACATTTTCTTAAAGTAAATAAGGCAATTCACCTACACTAAAATAAAAGAGCAATTACACCATGAAAATACAATAAACTGCTAATAAGAATGCTAACCTTGGTTGATCCACCTAATGCAGATTTTTCTGTCAACCTATCAAACAGCTTCTCATTTTCTTCATGCAACCTCTGCAGAAATCACACATTAAATAATATATAAAAAATTGAAATTAAAAAAAAAAGAAATGTAAAAGAAAATAAAGTTTTCATGTCTGAGTTCCATTACATGATATCACAATTCACAATACTTTACAACACAAAAATCTTGAACAAATCATAGGACATGATTAGCACTGATAGGCAAACTACGAATCTCTACATTCATGGACAGAAAACAGCCCAAATAGTACAGAATCTCTATCCCTAATAATTAAACATCCTAAGAAGCAATTAAAAATTTTGCCTGTTCCAAATAACCATCTGAATGATAGTGAAACTTCTCAACAAAGCACTAAAGAGCATATGAGCATATACCTCAATAAGTACATCACGTTTTGAGAGTTCCTCCTCAAGTTTCTTGGTAACAGCTGAAGAATCATTACTGTCTCCTGTTGATTTTGTAGTTGGTAAAACCCCAGTAGATTCTGAACCAATTGCTGACCTCGCATCAGCAGAACGGAGAGTTTCGTTCAGTTGCAACTCGATGCTCATAATTTTTGCCTACATTAAAAAGGAAAATTGAGAGGGTATCTGATTAATTTAGGGAAAAACCAAATTATACACCAATCCAGAGAATATCTCAGATCTCACAATTTCATGAGTATTTATCATGGTTTAGCACCTTTATATCATAAAGCAATGATAGAATCTCACAAGAATTTATCTATTTTTATTGATACCTGCAGGGCCTGAACTGTTGCATCCTTTTGTTGTATCTGCATTTTCTGTTCTTGCTCTAATTGTAAGAGATGAGCAACTTGATTTCTAAGCTGAGCATTTTGATCCTTTTCAATTTTAAGCTTCTCTGCAACCATTATGTTTTCTGACTGCAGCAAAGGAAAAAATATCAGAAATTTGATAATGTATGAACCTGTCATAACAGATCCAGCACAATGATATCAACGAAAGTAGACAAGAGTACAAGACTAGTAAAGAATATTGTGTCAAGGTTTTGTTTTGATAAATAGTATAGTGTCAAGTTAACTTCCACATTCAAACCTTTCAAATTTCTTTGGATTAATTGTCAGCAATGATCATATATCATTTTTCAAGGACACTAGATGGATACCAAGGTTGGTCTTTTGAGATGTATATAAACATGCAGTCCCCTTCTTGTTGGAACCTGAAAATTACATGACATGTGGTATTCCTGTATATTAGCATATAAAGCTGCATTCAAGAATGGAAACGTTGAACTGAAGCGATTTTGTACCGGTTCAGTTGTAGGCATTTGGTAAGAATATGTTTTTGTATTGAAAATGACACTTTGTCCGATATGCTTGCATTCAAAATAGGAGCAAAACTTGCTTCGAAAAAATGGAAGCAAACTTTCGCACTCAAAGTTGCTCAATGTAAAAAAAAAAAGAATAGAATCCATTCTTGGAATTCGTGCTAGTACCCACCACAATGTTTGGTAAAAATATAAAATTTATCACCACAGAACCCAAACCATGTGTGCATTTTCATGAACCATATATATTTGCATTTGCATTATTAACAAATGCAGCCTAAAGGGTGAGAGCCCTATCAAAGGTGAAACAATAGATCCATGGATCAGTTATCAGACCCATAGATCCATCACCATGTCACCTGAGAATTTCATCTTTTTCCCAACTTTTGCTAATTTAAAGTATTTAAATTTTAAATAAATCATACAAATAATAATTTAAAATATGAACTGTTTTCTGCATTTGAAACTCAAATAGTTATGGATGGTCTGCCATAAAATTTTTTTGCATATTTTTCCAAAGAATATATCATTAGAGGCTGCCAAAGCGTTGATTTTTTTTGCTAATAAATAAAAAAGAAAATTTATTAGGAAAAAGAGAAGAGAGTACAAGAAAAGGTGACAAGGAATCACCCACCACCAAAGAGAAGCCCCCCAAAAACATCTCCCCCAAATTCAAAGAAAACAAAAGAACCCAACCAGGTGACTGATGAAGCCCAAAAAAAAGAAAAAAAAAAGAGAAAATGTGAATGTATTCTGTATTTGTATGTTTTTGTAGTAGGATTCCAAATTGTTGGTTTTGGGTAGCATTGTTGACAGATTGGATCCAGGGGTATTTTCGTCATTTTATAATTCACATTCTCGCCAAGGGCAGTTGGGTGTACATATGTTGGGTTTTGGTCTCTTGGGTCTTTTGTAATAAAATTTATCTTTAGGGGTTTTGTTTGAAGTAAGTTTTGTTCTTAAGGAATTATTTGTGAAAAGAAAACATTCTAGGGGTTTATATGTAAATATTTTAATTGGCTTGTCCAGCAAGCCATTGAATCTTATTAAAAGAGAAGGGTTTTTTTTCTGTAGGGATCTATTTTGGTTCTTTCTCTCTTGTTTGAGCTGTAGCTCGGCCCCAGCTAGGGTTTTCAAGTATTGGGAGCTTGGGTTTTGAGGAGTCAACCCTTTTTTTTTTTTTTTGATAATTAGGAGTCAACCCATTTCGGCACCTTCCAATCCCTCTATCGCAGTGTATCTACATGGGAGGCCAGCTTGATGCCATTGTTACTGTAGCGGAACTGTTCCAGGAGGAGTTTTACTTCAGGTTCAGTTTTGAAATCCCTAAAAATCCAACTTGTTTTGTTGTTTTCAGCTTGGTATTTCTTGTGCTTATTGCTGTACACTTGAAGCACTGCATGTAATTTGTTTTTCTACCCACATCAGCAACAAAAAACTCCCGTACCAAAATAAAAACACTCACCAGACAAGCCCACTCAGCCAACAATAAAATTTAACATATTTTTTAGCTGACTCCTTACAACTAAATTAACTATGCTTCACCAAAACCAGCCTAAAGGATGCCTAACTAAACATCTCTTCTATCAGCTTTAGCAGAGAACTCTTTGTGTCTCTAACTTGCTTTCTTTGTTTTCTTCACCTTCTTAATGGGCCTGATCCCAAATAATCCCACCCTCAATTTGATGGTTGTTTTGGCTCTTGAATCTTCCTACTGCATCAGGAATCTTTCCAAAAGCCACAGGACTCTTAGGATTATCAACAATCCTTCCTAATAAAAGAACTGCATTTTTCTCAAAAAATAAAAGATCTGCTGCCAGATCATCACCTTCTTTAAGACTATCCCCTTCAACTTCAACAGAACTCAGACCAACCTAAACAACTCCTCCCTTTGCAAAAACAGCCAGGTTAAGATTTCTTTCAATCTCATGAATTTCATCCAAAATCGCATCTGCTTCTAGCAATTTTTCTTCACTTCCCCTGTCTTTTGAAACAGGTCTTATTCTATATTTTCTCTTCTTTCTTCTAAAGACTTTCTTGTTCACCCCCTCTAAATCCTCTTCCTCCGGTTCCTACCCACCTAACTCATCTGCCAATCTTAAAACCTCTCTTCCTTCCCTTTGTCTGTTCCCCTTTCTGAGTAAACATATTCCACCTCCAAAGCCCTTTCAGAGTCCTCAATGTTCAAAACTACGGTTTGACCCACCTCACCCAAGCTAATTTTTATCTTTCACTTATTTGTTGACTCACCTGGAGCTTGTGATCCTTCACTAGATTGCTTCCATATTTGTCTTCATCTTGCACTTTCATTTGCTCATGCATTCCATCTTCCACTTATGTTGAAAAAGTTACCTCATGTCAGTAGCATCCCCAACCTCAATCACTTTCAACAACTCTCCCTTCGTCATTTCTTTAGACCCTTCAGAGCTTCCACTCTTAGCTTCACCTATTGTCTTCACTAGCCCCTTCTCCATCTCAAGCCCCCTAATCTTTTGTGCCTTCTCAACTCCCTCACCTCTAAAATATTCCTCATCTAAAATTACTGTCTTGCCCCTGTCATTAACTGTTTCATCTTCCTCATCTTTCTCGACAAAGAGACTATTCACCTTCCCTTCAACCACCTTCCCCTATTCAGAAGAAGACTTTCTGAATTCAAAAAACTTCTCAACCAACCAAAACGTTGTATCTTCTCATTCCACCACTATTCTAAGTTCATATGTTTCACCTGCATAGAAGAGATTTATACAAGTTGGGATGGACCAGATCACTTAAGTCAACAATGATTCTTGCACACTATGGTTGAAACCAGCTTTGGTTATGGGAATCAAATCTTTTAAAACTTCCACAAGCATTCCCAATCTCATGAAACGTTTGAGAACACCAAGCATGAACCGAAGACATGTATCAAAACAAAATTGTTTTTCCTCGATCCTCTAAATGTCTGACATTGATGTCCATTTTCCCAGTTGCAACTCTGGGCACCTCGATGATCTACCTTCTTCCAAAAGTAGAACCTCTTCTGCATCTTCCTTCTTCTTGAACATGAACAGAAACAATCCTGCATTCAGCTTTCTAACATCAATGAAACTAAACATGCTCCTCTTGATCATCGCCCATCTGAAAACATCCTGCTCATCCAGAAAAGAATTGAAAAAATCTACAAACCAGACACAAATTATCCATTGCAAACTCTCTTTCAACTTCCCGCAATCCTTCACCACTACCCTCATTGACCCCCGCTGCCATCAAAATCCAGTTTTTTAGTAAATACCCACTTTCAATTTCCTCTGCATCTTTGAATAGAAAGAACCCCTAGCTGATAACCATGCATTTTCCAAAGATTGGCTTGTCATCCTTCTTTAGTCAGGAGAATGGAAACACCAAGATGGATACCACCTTCAAACAATTCAATAAAACAAACTTTCAATGCTTGCAGCTTCGACAAGCGAGCAAACTCAGGAAAAGAGGGTTTAATCAGAAAGGGTGAAGTATTAGCCACAGCAATTTAATCTGGTCCAGTTGGGTGTGAAGACTCAATTGGATTAAGATTCCACAAAAATCTTAACTATAGAGATGGAAAGGTAGAAGATGACTCTCGGGTTGTAGTGGAATGGTTTAAAAAAATACCATAGGCTTATGGCAATATAGATGTTTAACAAGAGAAGAAAGAATCTTAGCAAGGGAGATGAGGACAACATTCACTTGGATCAACAGATCAGCCAGAACTTTGGCTGATAAAAATTAGCAAGACAAGGAGTTAAAGAAAACCTTATTATTTTGGGTCATCCACTAGGAGTTTTATCTATAATTTGAAACAATGACATAAACTAAAGGCTAGGCACATAGTTGTCAAGGCGATGCCTAGGTGGGCGCCTAGGTGAAAAGGCGCCCTTGAAGGCTCGCCTCGCCCAGTCGCCTAGCAGTTTTGTATAGTGTCTTATAAAATTCTTTTATATTGTTACTTTTTTGAGATTATAATTACAAAATAGACATTATTAAACAAAACTATTCATTTTTTGTGTTTATAAACTAATTTCTTTTTATTATTTTCTTATTTGTTAGGGTTTAATCAACACAAGCATTGCTAACTGCTGTATTGAACCCCTGAAAGACTTCAGAATTTGAACCAATAAGGGGAAAACTTAAAGTTTTGTCTAATCAACACATTTCTTCCTCCACATCTTCTTCTTTTCCTATAACAAAAATAGGGGTTCAGTCCCCATATTTTTTGAAGTTTCTTTTCTTTCTTCTTTTTCTTCTCATAAATATGTTGATTTTCTAGACATAAACATGAAGCTTAGTTATTAAGGAAATATGGTTATGGCTCCTTGGGAACTACCTAGGATATGTATTTTTCACTTAAAAAAATCCATCACCTAGGCGACCAGGTGACAAGGCGCCCCCCTGTTGCCTAGCCTCGCCTTGGCACCTTGAAAACTATGGTTAGGTGGCTAAGCTAAACTAAGCTTTAGGTGTTTTTGTGGCATAATCAAGATTGTCTTCCAATCTTCCTAGTAACTTTAATAAAATACAGACACATTACTAGTCAAAAAATTATAATGTATTTAGTATTTATTCATACAAATTTTTAGTAATGGGTTCATGAGTAATGTTTTAGATATGTTGATACTTGAAGCTTGATTGCATCATCTTTTAAGGTAATGGTTCTCATTAACCATACATGGTGTGCTGGCTGATCAAAGCCTAGCACATACTGTACTTACTAGTTACCTCTACTTTCTGTTTTCTAACAAAAGTTAATTATAATCCATTACTGACTCAAAAGAAATGAAAACTAGAAGTTGTATGCTACATTTCACACATTTTGTATGCTTTCTCACATCCCCCACAGGCAAAGTCAAGTGGCTTTCCCACAGAAGAATAACAGTGAGAAGGGATGACAGATAATAAGACCATGCTTATAAGCCATAAAAAGATATTGCACAAAATCCTTACAACATACGAAAGAATGAAGCACAGATAGTGCAAAAAATCATTACAGCATACAATACCAAGAAGGACAGATAGTGCAAAAAATCCTTACAACATATGATAACAAGAAGCACAGGAAAGAACAGTTAGAAAGTTTCAACACCTTCAGATCAGACTGTAGGGTAAAAGACACTTTCCAAGCCTTTTGGACTTCATTGAAAAGAAGGACGCACTGGTCATTTGCATCATTCCGTGCTTGCTTTAAACCCAACACTTCTTGCTTTAGATCATAGATTTCCTTTTCTTTCTCATATAATTCTTTTCGTGCATCATTAGCCTACAAATCCATCCAAGGTTATGAGTAAGCCAACAGAACATAATGCACTTTAAGACATGAGCAAATCAACACATTAACCAATATGAGATTTTTATAGCATTGATATAATTAGACAAAGTTTAGCCAAACCACCAATTATTCCAAGACCAATCTTTTACTACAGTAAAAAAGGAATCACAAAACATTAGACTGAAACGAACTTTACTATACTTGACAAACAACTTTCATAAGGAAAAAAAAGGTTTCATAGGGAACTTACCACATCTCTCCACTTCTTGATGGTATCCCGATTTCCAAGACTTAGTTCAGCATTGCGAGCTCTTGCAGAAAACTTTAGCGAAGACAATGTCTCAGATAGATTTGAAACATTTGGGCAAATATTTACAATCATCAATGTTTTTGAGCTTCCACCTATAAATGGAGCTTGACAATTAAAAACTAAGGTTTAAAAAGAAAAAAAAAAGAGAGAGAGAGTGAGAGAACATTCCCTATGACACAGTACAGACATACTTTTTTCTGTTTTGTCAGTAACCAGATCGGAAGAGCTTCATTGATATAAAAGTTGAGAAAGTACAAAGAACTAGTTTCTAAGAGAGGAAAATAGACATTAAACCTTTCACACAAGGATAAATGAAAAAAAAAAATGAAATGCATCACTGATGTACAATCATATGCATGATGTGGACGCCGGCAGCAGCAGCACTAATTTAGTGCAGCAGCAGCAGTAATTTAGTGTTCTCAGCAGCAGCAATTTAGTGTTCTCATCCTATCTTATCTATTCAGTATTCTTGCCTTATCTGCTTTCAGTAGTAGGGATTAGTAGGAGTCTTATCTATCCAGTGTTCTTATCTTATCAGTTCAGTAGTATGGATTAGTAGGGAGTCTTATCTTATCTTATCAGTTCACTAGGATAGATTAAGGAGTCTTATCTTATCAGTTCAGTAGGATAGATTAGTAGGGAGTCTTCCTAATTAGCAAGGAGTCTTCCTAAAAGTAGGACTCTTATCTCTTGTAATCTCCTATTTAAGGAGCTGAGAATATTGAATAAGATCATGGAAAATTTCAGTCAAGAAAGAGAGCAGAGGAGAGTTTGGTGATCTCTTGAACAAATCACCATTAAGGCGCCAAGATAGGTCCCTCAAGAAAAGGGAGGAACAAGGGAAAATAGGAGGTTTTCCCCGTGGACCGACCCGTGACGAGATCCTATTTCGTGGGCCCATAACAATGCATAACAAATACTTTAATTACATCATGCTGGCGTCACAGATACATCTCATCATATGTACAAAATTAATAAAGAAAACTTCCCTGCACAGATGCACAGAAAATGGAAAAGTAATCATCATAAACAATCAGATCTCAACAACAATCAGATCTCAACAACAATCAGTACAAATGTATGAAAGGTAAAGGATGTTATAAAAAATTTGGATCAAGGTGGATGCACTCCCATTCATTCCCAAAGTGATAATGCTAGAGCCCCACAAAGAGCTTTAGGGTGCAGACCCACTGAATAAGGGAGTCTTCACTTCTGCTTATTATTCATGGTCAAGCATTTGCCTTGAAAGATCATCCTATATGCATTCCTTCCATACTCCCAGCTCAAGGCAAAGGGGGTGGATTTCCACAATGTCTTCCCTCTCCTGCTGAAACCTTCCAAACGCCACACTTCAAGCAGTACCGTAAGGTTTCCAGACAAGACCAATTGAAGATTAATTCAATATTGCAGGAAATGACTCCATATACCATATGAAATTATACTTTATCTCTTCTCAAAAAAAAAAAAAAAAAGCATGTCCCATAAGTGACTTTGTAAGGGATGAGTAAGCGTTGATTGTTTCCCCTTCTCCAAAAAAGATTACATACATCAGCAACGGCCATCCCTTTGTTGGATAGATGATTGATGATCAATATACAGTCCAAAGCAGCAATCCAAATGAAAAAATATGAATATAGATGGTGCAATGGCTTTCCACAGCCATCTCCAATATGAGAATCAAAATCCATCATTCCTATTTATCATAAAAAGATCCAACCGTAAAATTTCCCGAGCTTTCAGCCAACCGTACTCTAGCGTCAAGGGTACCAAGTTGAATCCTTACATGACTAAAAACCTCCAAGAATTTTGTTAGAGAATCCAACTCCCAATCACAAAATTGTCTTAGCGAAGGCAAACAAACAATGCAACCACATACAAGTTCATGACATTCCTTCATAGAAACCCCTTTACTTGCAACCAGGGCCCTCCACACCAAGGGTCCTTCCAAAAGTATATCCATTCACCATCTCCCAGTTTGAAAGTTACAAATTTAGAGAAATTACCTCTAACGATAACAACTCCCTTCTAAATATTGGTGTCATAGGCAAGTTGGATGAGTTTTTTCCATAATCCAAAGGCTTTTGGCCATACTCACAACATATGAGCCTTCTCCAGATACTCCCCTTTTTTCCTACACATATCTCCATAACCATTTACCTAGGAAAGCATTTCTTTTAAGTGCATATTTGAGACCATACTGTTTGGTCATATTTTCTTCTATCAATGTACCGATCTGATTAGAAGACATCTCTCGATTTCTCAATGTTGATGCAACTGAAGCTGGAATTGACAGCATACATAGAAAAGCATGTCGAAAAATTCAATGAGACACTTTCAGTCATTATGCTTTCTTCTCTTGGACAAATAACACCACTTCGATCCAGTTGGCTTCATCTCAAACCTCTCTAAAATTGAATCCTATAGCTCCTTGGACCTGTAGTTTGCCCGCAATGGCAGGCCAAAAAATTAAATGACAGAGAACCATATCCAAAAGTAGCAGCGAACTCTCTAGTTTTGGCACCTCTGCAATAGCCACCATTTCACTCTTTTAACTTTTATCTTTAGACCACAGGCCACTTCAAAGTATATGAAAAAACATCATGCTGGCTGGTAACATGATGTTAGTAAGATATTTGAATCTAGACTGTCAATAGAACATATTTGGGTTGGTATAGACCCATTCCACCCAAAGAAAGAGCTTTCTGCTAGGAAGTAGTTCACGGGAAGATAAATACTATGGGCTTGCTTCAAAAGAGAAGACCTAATTCCTATCTCTCCCTAACTAGTATGTCTTATGCAAATCCAGTAATGAGGGTTGTCTTTGTTTATTGATTTCCTGCCCCTTTGTTGCAAATATTTGGCTTTGGTTTTTTTCTTTGTTTGGGTGCAGGTGGACTTTACTGACAGGTTATTATGTTATTTGATCCCTCCCAGTTTACTGGCCAAAGAAGAAAGGGAGGATAATGTGGAGATGTGTTAGAGCAACCTTGATTTGGACCATCTGGGAAGAGAGGAATGCAAGAATCTTCTCGAAGAAGGGGAGAAGCAAAGAAGAAATCAGGATTTGTGTAATGGTTAGGGTGACCCACTGGATCAAGACTCTGGAGTTGTTTTCCTAGTTTTCCTTGATGATATCTAGAGGAATTGCGAAGCAGTTGGTAAAATCTTGGTAAAATCTCTAAGAGATAGGACAAAGTGGAGGTACTCTAGTACCACCAATTGAAAGGTTTGTTAAACTGAACGTTGATAGGAGTAGCCAAGGTAATCCAGGCCCTTCTGGAATAGGAATGGTTTTGAGAATTGGAGAAGGTAAATTTATAGCACTTTTTTCTGGCCCTGCAGGTATGAGTGGCTCCCTCAAAGCGTAACTGCTTGCTGCAATTCAACGGGTGTAGATAGTTATTGAAATAAACTTGACAAATGTGGTGATCGAAGGGGATTCAAAAGTGGTGGTAGAATAGGTAAAGAATCCCGAGTCTATAACTTGGTGCTGCAGGAGTGAAATGAAAAAATTTACATGGCTAACCAGGAATATGAATTTGAAGATACAATGGGTGAGGAGATCAGCGAATGGGATGGCGGATGCTTTGGCTAAGCAAGGAATGAATGGTTCAGGAATGACAATTCTAGTAGCATCCATGATGATCAAGAAATGAGAAACACAAAAAATAGAAGAACAATTTTTTATTAAGTTGTGGTGCATGTAATAGGATGCTACTGTGAAGTGCAATATGGTAGAACAATAAATGCAGGAGTTACAGGACTTATCAGCTAAGGAGTGTCTGGAACACAATCCTTAAACAGAATTTCACCTCCTTTGGATCAAGTCCAGTGTAGTAGTGGAAAAATGACATTTTACTCTAGGATTCAATAGCCTTGAAAGGCACTTAAAACCATTAACTCGGAATACTGAGTCACACAAACTGCAATAATATTTAACTCGGAAGTGAATGATGAATGTGATGCGAGAATGTGTGTAGGTGCGTGCAATGACTGAATCGAGCATAAGTATAAATAGCCACATTCCTACAAGTGAGAAAGGCAGCGACTCTTTTGAAAGAAACCATATAAAGGCACTAATGGAATGATGTGAATTTTGGTTTGAATTGAAAGGTTATTTGAATTCAAAAATGAATGGTCACTTTATTAGAATGAAAATTTACAAAACAATTGAAATTTAAAATGGAAAAGTCACAAAAGATATGTGGGCAGATAACCCACACCCACACCCGACCCAGCCTGACTCAGCACACAATTGCAAAAACCAACTTTCCTTGAGATCAACAGGTGGCCCCCTCGCATTTTAGATTTGAAAATATGTCACTTGCACATCCAACGTTTGCAGAAAATGTCATATTATAAGATCTGGGTGGTCTAAATCGATTGGGGCTGATCATACACATCATATATTTTTGAGAATAAAAAAAATGCAGACTCTGCAGCTAATAAAATAGGGAAAAGAAAGACCTCCGTGTTGTGTTTGGTTTGAAGGAAAAGGTATACAGGTTTCCCTACCTTTTCCTTCAAACCAAACATAGCCTAAGATCTAGAAAAGAGAGGTATTTGGCAAGGTTCAAAATTTCGATACAGGCCAATAGCCAGTTAGGGCATACAAGCCTGTATCCTGGCTCGCATTTTTTTTAGTTTTTTTTTTCTTTTCTTTAAACTGGTTCAGAGGGGTCAGTTTAAGGCCCATCTACCCCCTGAACCAGGTCAGACCCCGAAACACCCACTGTAGGGGCGTATCGGGAGGCCACCGATACGATATATATTGGCCAATATGGCCCGATACATATTGAAATTTTGAACATTGGTATTTGGTCAACTTAATGAAAGGATGCTAATAGGAAAATGGAATGGAAATAAAAGAAAAAAAAAAAACAAATTTGATTTTGATTTTGAAATAGAAAAAAAAAATAGTTGAAGACAAAAATCAAGAATTAATTGGGAGAAGGGTCATCTCAGCTAAATATGGCACAAGGAATAGGGATTGGATCCAGGTTTGGTAAACACTTTTTATGGTTGTGCACTGTGGAAGGGTATTGAGAAATCTTTCAACAAATTCATTTAAAGCATCAAGTATGAGTTTTGAAGAACTATATATGTTGCAATGAAGAATTATATATGTTGAAATGAAGCTATTGTCCGTAACCCTTACTTCAGGCATAGACTGAATGATTGGGAGATTGATTCGTTAGTAGAACTATTGCCAACTCCTCAGAACTGCAGGCCAAACAGGGATAGAAGAACAATGTTTTAAAAGAGAAAGGTGCAAAAAGAGCACAAGGTCCATTTTGCACCCGAGGCACAAGATGAAGGCGAGGCGCACGCCTTTTTGAAGCAAGGCACAAAAATGCAAAAAAAATTAAAATTTTCAAAAAACTCAAAAATTCAAAAAAAAACAAAAATATTCAAAAATATGTCAAAATTGCCAAAAAAAATGCAAATTATTAAAATAATAACACATTATTAACTAAAAATATAAACTTAAATTTTAAAATAAATGCTATAAAGAAACCTATTACCTCAAATTAAATACATAAACATAATATGTAAAACATATCTAAAATAAAAATTTTAAAACAAAATCAAGCATAGCATATAAAACATATTCAAGCATGTAAACTCTTAATCTCTTTATTCTTTTCCCAATTGAATTACATCAAATAGCTAATGTGATGTTAAACATTATGTATTCTTGATTTTACAAGCCGCCTTTGACCAAGCCCCCCCCCCAAGGCAAGCCCAAACAAGTCCATATTAGGGTGTTAAAGTCTTAATCCATATAAAAAAGAAAGGTTTTATAACTTTAAGTATCTTTTAAAATTATCTTTTATTAGGATGAATGAATGAGCAACATTAGCAAATTGCAATTTGCAAATAGGGATCAGTATCAATGTTATATTTTTTTCATAACCCGCAATTCTGTTACAAGTAAACAGTGTGTTAATGGATTAGTACCATTGTTATTGCCAATGAACAAGATAATCTTCCACATATTCATAACCATGTTTACTAATAATGCTGCCTATTACAGTTTCATTTCATATAAGCAGTGACACCATACTCAAAACTCGGCATAAAGATTACTATGCTCATAACAATATTTTCATGGAAATAGTTTTTTTTTTTTTGATATTTTGAAGACAATTTGTATAAGCAAATGAGATCTTTACATACACATAGAAGATAATTTACAGAACCTGTTTGGAAAAGTGATCTGCTACAAGAGGCTAGAAGAGCTGGGGACAGACCAAAAAGGATTTGGGTGGAAGTAATAAGATATGGTTGAAGCACCCATAATTTAATGATGGATATGGCGCTGAACAGAACAGAAGGGAAAAACAGGAAACATGTAGCCGACCCCATATGGTTAGGACAAGGCTTAGATCATGATGATTGATTGATTGATCTACACGTATGTGTGTGTGTGTGCAAGTGCAAGAGAAAATGGGAGAATATATATATATATATATATATATATATATATATACACAAGTGAAAGCTAATTTTTCAAAGAATAAAGTTGCCATGAGTTTCAATCAGCACCATCTAGTGATTATTCAACTTGCAAATGAACTCAACAATGAGGTGACCATGCAGAAAGTGGTCAAATTTAATACCTAGAGAAAATTTTCATTGCTTTACAGTTTAAAAAAATAATAATACCTAGAGAGTCTGCAAGTATTCTTGTAAGTCTTGAGTTCTCATAGGGTATAATATCCTTCTTCAAAGTCAAAGACGATAATACATCTCCCAACCTACAAAATAGAATAGCAAAAACAGTAGAAACTTAAGGAGAAATGGCCATAGATAACTGATAAAAGCAACATAAGGAATATAAGATCAAGTAGTTTGTAACAAAAAAAAGAGGTTCATTTGCCAGAACAGCAACTATGTGCATAGAAGGAAAAAGAAATGCAAGAAAATCCATAGTACAAATACAAAGTTGCCAATCCTTACTAGATGCTAATCTAAATTATTTCTTTGCTATGTAAATAATACATATTTACTTATGTACCAACTAAAATACGCTAAATGATTGAAAATATCATCCCAAAGGCTGCAATGTCACTGTTGAGTACAGATTTTGTTAACACAATACAACAAGCAATTACTGAAAGGTAGGACAAGGTGATGAGAAAACACCTTCAGAAGAATAGCTAAAACTCTTCCAAGCATTTTTTGGTTTTGCTTTGTTCTCAAATATTGTAACATTCTTTTGCCCCATCTGGTCCACAAAATCAGCAAAAGGATTCACGGGCAAAAGGGCTTTTCCTCCTGTCCAGTGTTTTAAAAGCAAAGCACAAGGGGCAATTTGCACCCGAGGTGCAAGGTGAGGTGCACGCCTTTTTGAAGCAAGGCACAAAAATACAAAAATGCCAAAAAATCAAAAACAAAGTCAGAAATTTCAAAAAACAATACCAAAAATGTCAAAAAATGCAAAGAAAACCAAAAAATATAAAACATTAATATTAATAATAAAATATAATCTTAAATTTTAAAATAAAAGTTCTAAAAAACCTATTATCTAAAATTAAAACACATAAACATAACATGTAAAGCACATTCAAATGAAAATTTAAAAATAAAATCAAACACATAAAACATTTTCAAGCATGTAAAGCCCAAAATCCCTTTTTTCTTCAATTGCATTACTTCAAATATCTAATGTGATGTAAAACATCTTGAATTCCTGATTCTACGAGCTGCCTTTGTACCAAGCCCCTCAAGGCAAGCCCAAACAAATCCATGATAGGGTCTTAAATTCTTAACCTTACACAAAATAAATGATTTTATTTTATTAATTGTCTTTTAAGAAGATATTTTACTAGGATGGATGAATGAAAAACATTAGCAAATAGGGGGTTCTCGGAATCAGGAATGTACAATGTTTTATATGTTTGAACAACATTAGCAAATAGTGCAAGGCACGCGCCTTTTGAAAGTGCTGCACCTAGGACCTAGGCATTACTTAAAATGTGCCTCGCCTGAACACGTAGGCACGCCTGAGGTGCACCTTTTAAATCACTGCTTCTGTCAGACCTTTAAAATGCCAGATTAAAAAAAAAAAAAAAAAAAACTCAATGGAGAAGCCAGTGCCCCAGGAAGCACCACATTTGAAAACTCTAGAAAATGAGACCAGAATTGGTAGAACTAAAAATTGGTGAATTAGTCATCAGTTTCTGGAGTATTAGAGAATAGCACACTACCAGTATCACCAACGCCCTTTTCCTGTTCAGTTCAAAGTTCAAACTATCAACATAAGGCCCCCAATTATTGACATACCATAAAAAGACCTAGATAATATTGATTGTTTGGCACCATAAACAGCTAGGAAGGATCCAAGGGAGGTTGAACTTGGCCATTTAACAAAAGATCAGGCTGATAACATACCATAAGAGTCCCAAGGTCAAATTCTAGGTCAGACTGGTTCAGTGCAGGGCTGTGACTTGGGTCATTTGGCAATTTAAAAGCAAGTCAGTAAAGACTTGTTCCTCCCAGTCATTAAGGTTTCTCCCTAGTTAGAGAGTGAAACTACATCCAACAGATTAACTTTAAAACATTGACCAACTAGAGCATCTCTTTCTTCTGCTGCTAGAAAAGACAGGAATGCAAATGTTTTAGGCACAGTTGCAAGGGGTTTAAAAGAAAACCTGAAGGTTAGAGATAAAACTCCTTATCTCTAGACTGTACTTGTACATATTGGTTCTACTCATCTTAATAAAACTTTACTGTTCCTGATCAGAAAATTATTAAAAAAACAGAGAGAGAGAGAGAGAGCAACACAAATGTTTTGGGCACAGTTGCAAGGGGTTTAAAAGAAAACCTGAAGGCTAGAGATAAGACTCCTTATCTCCATATTGTGTACTTGTACATATTGGGTTTTACTCAAATTAATAAAATTTTACTGTTATTGATCAGAAAATTATTCAAAAAACAGACAGAGAAAGAGAGGGAAAGAACACCTCCAACTATTTTAAAATATTGGCCAACTAGAGCATCTCTCTGCTGCTAGAAAAGAGAGAAAAAGTGCTCCTCCATTAGAGAACAATCATCAAACCATAAGCCATTGCCATGTAACTGATTTCTCTGATGACTTGTGGTAGATTTTTAAATTCCTCCCCAATACCAATGTCTATTCCATCCACCTCACTAGAATGCATGATGGCCACTTGCATTCTTGGAAGCTGCTCATGTCTATGCTGTTGATGGTTTTATTTCACCAACCATGTAAAGTTTCTGCATCTTTAGGAAGCCTACCTTTTTTCTGGTTATATCTCATATATGATAGAAATATAGAATACTATAGCCCGTTTATGAAAAAAAATAAAAAATAATAAAAGTGAAGCTCACTGCCTCCATTTTACCTCTTATTCATGAAAGTCATTCCATCATATTCTTCCTTGGTTTCAATTCCCTTACCCTGGTCCTTCATTAGAGATACATCCATGCTCCTCAACCCTTCTGATCGAAGACATAGAATGCAACCATTCACTCTTCCTTGCTTCAATCCAGCCAAAGACTTCCTCTATACTTCCATTTTGTCTTCAATTCCTTCAATTTCCCATTATATGTCTAGCCAATCCGACAAACTCACCTAAATTCCATCTTTGCAGTATTAGGTTAAAAGCCATGTTTCTTGCAACTGCATGTCTAGGCAACGGTCAAGGTAAAGCTTCGTCTGTAACCTCTGGAAGGTCTTCTTCCCAATCAGATTAAACCAAAAGCCCGTCTAGTTTTTTCAACATGGTTTGTCCATGCAAAGATAACCCAAACAAGGTTAAGTAAAAAAAAAAAAAAAAAATCCTTATGTGATGTCTGCACATATTCAGAAAAGCTCTATATACCTGAAGTGATTATTGACCTTCTCGTGAGAGAATCCGATCGTTTTGAAGTCTACTCCCTTTTTTTCCTTTGATGAGTAATATTCTACTCCCAATTATGCACGAACAGATTGTTTTAATTTCACTGTCAAAGCTTCTCATGAGAGAATCTGATTGTTTTAATTTCACCTCAATCTACATAATTTGTCTTAGGATTTCATCATCTGGTCCATATACTATCACAATTACCAATTGAAACTTATCAGTTATCATGTTTATTGCAAATGCAAGGAAATGGAGAAGTGGTCCATTTTTTGCCCTTTAAAGTGACTCCCCACATATATCATATAATTATAATATCACCAGCTGTATCTGTACAAGGAAAACCCAATGACATGGCTTGAAAGTTGAAACCCTAAAGCCCCCTTATAATGGAGTGAATAAAACTTTGGAGCATTATAACTTGGAGCAACAGGATGTCTGGTTGCCATTTTTTTGAGAAAAGAGCTAGGTATATATTTTCTATTTTTTCTGACAAGTACAAGCACAATTATGTTAAATGGTACAAAAAATGCTGTAAATGTGCCAAAGCGCCTCTAATATTGCAGCAGTACCAACTATCCACCCTATCCTTCTTTTATTTCTTTCAACTTTACAAGTTCCCCCCTTGGGGAGCTATTCCCCAAAACAACTGATCTTTGCATGCTCCACGCCTTGCCAAAGCATTAGCCACACTATTGGTCAATCCCAGCATAATGTTATAGTAAACTCCCAACTCCCTAGCCAGCTATTTTGTCTCTGTAATTACATATCTGTAACTCCCATGATTCTGTGATAGAAGCCACCCCATAATAACATAGGAATCCCCTGCCATCAGATTTCTAAGGTTTACAAGTTTAACCAAGCCCATCTCTTGCTGGACTTCAATCACCAGTACCCTTAAAGAAACCCCAAACCCAATGGGACTGTAATCACCTGTGCACTTCAAGGTAGCCACCAAAAGCGCAACCATTAAAATTTAACTTAATCATACTAGAAGTGGGCAGTGATCATGAGACACGTGAAGATCTCCTTGTTGATGAAGATCATGCTGCAATCTTCCAATTCCTAATAATATCATGAGAAGTGAAAGGTGAGAAATCATTCAATGGTTTCAAACAATGAGTCACATTCATAGTGAAGATTTCCATAAGAACCTCTTTAGATTAAATCTTTTCTTGAGAACTCTAGTATTCCACTTGCAGACTGTAGATGCTCAAAAATGAATAAGATGTTCAGAAGAAGAAGAGAGAGAGAGAGAGAGAGAGCAAAACAAGAGAGAAATTGGAGACAAAAGAGCCAGGTGTGGGCTTTCATTGAGATATACTAATTTAAGTCAAAATTACAGATTAGCCCTCCATTAGTATAAACTATAAAACATAAATAGACAAAATTGACGTTAAATTGACACCTCTCAACACTCCCCCTCAAGCTAGATATACATATTGTGCATGCCTATCTTGAATAGGTTCTCTTCCAACTTAGGCCAAAGACAACCCTTTGGTCAAACAATCAGCTAGCTGGTCACTTGACTTCACAATGCTTAGACGATGAATTATACTATCCACTAAAAGACAAAGCAATAAGTCATTCAGTTCAACCACTTTAGTTGTTATCAAACAGCCCCTTAGACTTCCCTTTTTCTTTGGTTTTTAAGAGAGTGAAGGTTGAAGGTGATTTGATGGACAAAGGATCCCTAATTGGCTCTTGACCACATTGTGACAACATATCAGAGAACTCAGGGACTTAGCACCCAAGGTGAACTGTGAACATCTCATTAATGGACACCAAGGTGAACTCAGGGATTTTTCCTACATTGTTTCTCAATTTTAATAATGTCTCCTTCACTCTAACAGGGGCCTTGTAATAGGGACAATTCCAACTTATGCCAGACCTTGCTGTTGTCTTCTTTTGATGTTTAGTAAAGTTATCATTATTTATTAAAAGAAGAAGAAGAAGAAGAAGAATTAAAAACTGTCCAAGTAACAACATCAGTATCCCCCACCTGAAAAACCACACAAAATCAACACTTTCCTTAAAAGGCTATTTCAAAGCACAGGATCCCAAGAAAGCTAATAGCATATCAATTTGCACTATAATAAAAATACTGCAAATCTGCAACATGTCTTTACCGAACAATGCAATCTGATGACCAAAAGGTATAATCAATATTTAAAGAAAAAAAATGATGAATGGTGAAGACTAATAAATCCAATAGTTGAAAAAAATAATAATGTTAGTAATTTGACTACTGTATTAGACAACTAAACACTATTCAAGCAGAAAAAAAATGCATGGTTAAGTAGGAAGAGATATTCAAATACACAATGTATTTTCTGCCAGAAGAAGTATCAAATAACTTAGATACATTTTTATAAGTAATCAATATACATATAGTGTATACAATTCGAAAGAATGAACAAAATAATTACTAATGCTTACAAAACTTACGCAGAAAGCGAGTTCATCACATGCAGCAAATCTGTTACTCGCTCTCCACTAGCATCTTCGTCAAGCAAACCTTCACTTCCAGCCAAGTCCACAAGAGAAAGTTTACTGTACAAGTTTTCTCTGGTAATCCAATTGCTATAGTGCATGTGAATTGTAATGATCCTAAAGAAATCACAGCCAGGAAAAAAAAACATAAGATAAATTTATGATACAACCTATATTAATAACAAGCAAAAAGGGCACCCCATAATATGCCTTCCAGAATCTAACAAAGCTATTCCTAGCTGAAGGTAAGAAAGATAAACTGTTTTGGAGTGACATCTCATTTACAGTATATTGTGGCATTTGGAAAGAAATGAATGAGAGGATGTTCTAAGGCAGGAAGAAAGGAAAAAGAGAGTTCACTTTCCAAGATCAATTATCTTGTCCTTGATTGGATCTTGGCTCATCCAGAATTTGAAGTTGCTCAAAGAGATGATTTTGGGTCTGATTTTTGGGATGCTTTTTAACTTATAATGGATGGATGACAATCAGTAAGCTCCTTAAGTTTTGTTTTTTGGTAGTTTATCTGTTATTGGTGTGTTACCTCAACACCCACAACCTTGTACTTTTTAGTTTCCCCAATAAAGTTTTCTATCCACTTACTATCATAGAAAGGGAGTTCATTTCCACCATATGCAAAATATGAAAACTAAGTAACTAGGCAACAGGAGTATGCATCGTTTTCACTCCCATTTCTCCAAACCCATTCTCCCTTCCTCTTTCCCAAAAATAAAACAGACCACACAAGAAAGCAGCATATAATTTCTTCCTATCAAATAAATCTACATTGCCAACTGATAGCAGGGAAACAAAGTATATTTAACAATACCAAAACAAAATTGTCCAAAAAAGATTAAAATGATATATATTAAAATAAATAAAGAAGCCCAGCATTCTACAACTGAAATAAAACACGCAAAAAGATAAATTGAATAGATTGTAAAAGAAAACAACTAATTCCAGACTAAAGGGAACTTAGACCATACAAATGAGAAACGTTGAATTTCATTATGTCTGTCCCTCGATTCTGAAGCCCTGCTTTTAGAACTTTAGAGAAGTCTAAAGGATTTTCAACCTTTTCCTGAACAAGTTCTATGAAAGAATCTGGTGGACCCATGTGGACCTTCGATAGATTATTCCTCAGTTCTGAGAGTAAATCATGTACCTATTAAAACATGAGGTTGGACCACAATTAGAAATATGACAGTGTTGAATTCAAACTACCTCTAAAAAACAAAGTACTGCATCTAACAAATATGCAATTATGCATAGGGTAGCCATCAAGTGTAATTGAATTGGTACCTGTTCATTGTATAGCTCAAAGATTGTAACATAAAAATCAAGTCGTGAAGAAGAAGTCATATCTGAGTTGGACAAATCAAACAGCTCCTCAAAGCACCTAACATACAAACCACGCTCATGACTAGATCCTTCCTGCAAAAGTTCATATCTAGTAAAGAAAGGGTTAAGAAGAAGATGATGATGTTGATGATGATGATGATGATGACAATATGTGTTGATTGGATAAAATTTTGAGTTCTTCGATTCTTATCAGTTCAAGTTTTGAAGTCTTCGAGGGTTCAAGGTAGCATACATGCTGATTGAACCCTAACAAATGAGAAAAATAATAAAAAACTAGTATTTAACTTAAACTGAATAATTTAGCTTAATAATGTCTATTTTATTATTAGAATCTCAAAAGTTAAGAATATAAAAGTATCCAAGAGCACTGTGGAGAAAACTTCTCGGCAACTAAGCAAGGCAACCCTTCATAAGTGTCTTATCGCCTAAGCATCACCTAGATGCCACTTGACAACTATGGAATGTATGTTCTTGTTTTAGTTTTCTAAAATAGAATATTTTTACGTCACTTTCTTTTCTCAGCACATGTCTTTACATTTCTACTCTTTTTAATTAATATCTTTTGCCGTCAACTAGAGACACATGTACATATGTGGAGAGAGAAAGAGAGAGACCATAGTGTGTGTCTTTCCTGAACCAGTTTGCCCATAAGCAAATATGGAAACATTATACCCATCCAAAGCTGATTGTACAAATGGCTGGACATCATGGAAAAGTTCCCCTGAAAGTACAAGACATCAAAAAAGGTAAATAACAAAAAACGTATACTTGCACTCAATTGGGAATTCGAATCCCATATAAATTAAATGCAGAAAAACCTAACCAACCTTGAGTTACTAAACAAGAAAATACACAAATCAAAGAAGAAAAGAAATAAAAATAGCAGCAAGCAACCTATGTTCCTTACCTTGTCCAACATGAGGTCCATAAACCCTATCAAATTCAAAATCCTTCTTAGGGTTGGAGAGAGAATCATCAGTAGTATTAACACGGATTGTGAAATCATCAGGAAATTCAATGCAGGATAGGCCTTCATTTTCAAATAGTGGCCTTGTGCGGCAAAACACCTTTATGTTTCCTGAAATCATCAGTCCAGCTTTTCAAATAGAAAACTACCACAATGGTTATAAGAACTTAACATATGTCCTTACTCCTAATATTTGTTCAAATATTTTCATTAATCTGGGTATATATGCAAAGCATAAGTGTAACATTTTACAACATATTCCCCATATATTGTTTTAACTGAACTTTACCATCTTAATTATATCAATACAATGTTTTCACTTAACACCCTTACTACCAATATTACATTAAGGCTTCACCCTGTGTCTGGCCATGGCATCAGCCAGCATATTTGCTGATCTCCGGGTCCATATAAAACCAGTGTTTTAAAAGCGCAAGGCACAAAAAAGGTGCAGGGGTCAATTTGCACTTGAGGCGCAAGGCGCAAGGAGAGGCGTGTGCCTTTTTGAAGCAAGGCGCAAAAATACAAAAAAAAATCTAAAAATCAAAAAAAATTGTCAGAAAATTCAAAAAAAAATGCCAAAAAAATCAAAAAAATATTAAACATAATCTTAATAAAAAATATGAACTTAAATTTTAAAATAAATGTTTTAAAAAACCTATTATCTAAAATTATAATACATAAACATAAGATGCAAAGCATATCCAAATGAGAATTAAAAAATAAAATCAAACATATAAAACATTTTCAAGCATGTAAAACCTCTAATCTCTTTTTTCACTCAATTGCATTATTTCAAGTAGCTAATGTAATATAAAACATATTAAATTCCTGATTCTACGAGCCGCCTTTGTGCCACGCCCCTTGAGGCAAGCCCAAACAAGTCCACATTAGGTATAAAATTCTTAGTTTTCACACAAAAAATAATGATTTTATAGTTTTAATTGCTTTTTAAGAAGACATTTTATTAGAATGAATGAATGAACAACATTACCAAATTGGGGGTTCTCGCCTGGGCTGAGGCACATTTTAGGGTATGTGCCTCACCTATGTTCAAAAAAAGCAAAAAAGCGTCAAATTTTCAAAAGGCGCACCAGGCGTGCGCCTTTTGAAAGGGTTGCACCTAGGACCTAGGCGAGGCGCATACCGTAAAATGCACCTCACCTGTGCGCGCACCTTTTAAATCACTGTATAAAACTTGCAATCAGTTATGATGCTAAGGCTCTCAGCTATTTCAAGTAGTTCCAATATTGCCATGGTCCTTATTTGTTGTGTTGCAGTCGTGTCACCACCACTTTTGTGTCCCCCTCCACAACATGTTTCCTCAAATTTAAGTTCCTCAACAATCTTAAGCCCTGTAATATTACAAACAGGTCAACCCTGATGGACTTTCCTTCCCCTATAGGACCTGAATACATAACCAATATGTTGTCGTTATGATCCCCAAACTCCAAAGATTCCTCCTATACACAAGGGCAAAACTCCAGGGCTAGCCAAGCTGCATACATCAAAATTTAGTTTGACCTCTCCAACTATTGGTGGGACCCAATGTAAAGAGACCACAATCCTATAAGTAGGAAAATGTGCTATTGCACTACACTTTCAAATAAGACAAGATTTAGAAAGCCCTTTGCCTGATTTGCCTGTCTACTGTCTTCTATTTTCTTAATATTGGCATCTGTGACTGAGATCATAGAGAAGAAGGAGATGCACTTCCTCTAGGATGGACCAAATGAGAAAAACAAAATGCCATTTAGTAAATTCAGGACAATTGTGCACATCTGAGGAGAAAGGGGGTTCGGTTTTAGACCTGTTAGAATGATTAAAAAAATCTATGTTTTAGTATTAAATAAAAAAGAAAATCCTATTAATAAAGAAAGAGAGTACATCAGCTAGGGTGATGAAATCTTTTTTTTTTGTAGACATTATTTTTGCAATGTCTGAGAATCACTTTTTGTACAGGTGGTTGTTTTGTATTCACGGTTTCTTGCTGGGTAGAGTGGCGGTGCTTTTTCTTTAATACAATACATTACCTTTTCTCAAAAAAAAAAAAAGTTCTACATATAACTCAAGAAAAAACATACATTAAATAAGACAAACAAAGGACACAATTACATGCTTAAGTCCAGTTCAAGAAGAGTCCAAAAACCAGCACCAAGATCTTCCTTAGATACCCCTTCAAATTCTGGAAGTATGAGAACCCAGCCCATTATCTTCTTTCCACATATTAGAGTGATTTGTTCCCTTCTATAAGCCGTATTTTCAAAAATCCTTCTGTTTCTTTCCTTCCACACTTTCCCAACATATAACAAAGAAATGCAGCTCCATACTATCTTTCCCTTGGCGTTCTCTCTCACAGTTGGCCAACAAGCAAAAATGTCTCCTGGAGCTCTTGGTTCCACCCAAGAAGATCTGAAATAATCCAAAAAAGAGGCCCCAAATAAACTTTGTGAAAAGGCATCCAAAATGCAAATGAAGAACATTCTCCTCCGCAGCTTCACGCAAGTAACAGTGTAACACCTCCCAGACAAGTGGATACCCCTACTTCAATGTGATCCAATGTCAAGATACTATCCAGAGCCACCAATGAAGCAAATGTGTCTACGCTTGGTGGAATTCCCCCAAACTCATTTAGTAAAAGAAAAAAATATTAAAAAGGAAAAAAGATGTTAAATGCATCCACCAATAGGGTTCTGAGACAGCAGCACCAAAAAGCTGACAAGAGCCCAAGAAGAAAGAACCAGAGTCAGCCTTTTCAGAATCCTTCCTTCAACGCCCCCAATCAACTCATAGCTTTCCCACAAAGATTTCAGTAACAAGCTGTCTACCAACTTCAGGAAAGCACACCTTATCAAAGACAACAACTCTTTCTTCCTTATCCCTCTCAGCATTCCCCTCCACTGCTGTCGACACCTCTAACCCATTTCCAGATTCAACCTTCGCCCCCCCTTTCTCCTCCCTCGTTCTTCCATCGACCTCAGCTGAAACTTCAGCACTCTGCACTCCTCGCCTGAACTGACATGGCCTGATCCTTGGAAAATCTAGGAAGAGACCTTGAAGTGTCTAAAATGATTTAACAGAGAACTTTCCACTTGATTCCTTAGTAAGGCCTTATAAAATGATTTTAACAGAGAAAATGCCATTGCTTGACTCTTTCCACCATCTTGAATCCCTCCTATCCACTTGCAGCCATTAGCTTGGATTCTTGCTGCAATACTACATTCTTAGATATTTTCATTTGTTGGACCAGTGCTTCTGAGTCCTTGCTTGGATTCAATGTACAGTTGCTATGCTCATTTTCGTGGATTCCTTGTGTTAACTTAAGTAGAAGTTCAGGACTGTTATCAGTCTTGAACCCTAATGGATTTCAGGTTCGAAAATAAGAAGAAAGGTAAAGAGAAAAAGAAGAGGGAAGAGAAGTAGTAGAACACAAGAGTTGAAAAAGGAGGAGCAGAAGTTTGATATTCTGCCGCCGCCACTTTAATTAATATTTATAGGTTATGCTCATTACATGGAAAKGACAGATCTGCCCTTAGTCTTTACATAACAAATAGAGCAAAAATAAGACTGAAATAAATAACAACTGAAACAACTAAATGACCAATAGCTAACCCTAGGCAGACTAGAACACCTTCTACCCTACGAACACAGTGGGACCGTAGCTGTGGGGCCCACATCAGTGTTCTCTACAACTTATTTGCTTGAATTCACTATGCTATTGATTTGTTCTTTGGTTATATTTTTTTGTGGTAATAAAAAGAAAAAACATTAAAATAAAAATGAAAAAACAAAGTAAGGTGCCCAATGGTTACAAAAGAGAAGAAAGAAAAAAACATGTACCTCCAAAATATCAACTTTGGTTATTTGTTTGAATTCTTATTATATGGAAATTCACGATTTTTAATTTCTCTTCCCACTTTGCTGAGTGAACTAACTATTTTGCATGTAGAATTTTTAAACTTATGACAAAGTAATATTGCATTACGAAATTAATTAGGTAATATTTACTTATATGTAAAATTATTTATTATTAGATTTGTTTTAGAATTTTCAACTACAATATTAATAAAAACTTTAAAATATGGCACATATTAATATTGAATATCAATGTTTTAAAAGCACAATGGGCTAACACTACCTACAAATAAAGGAGGTTTGGCACTATACCCTTGTACATCTTATACTTTTTTATAGAGTGGTCTTGTACATCTTATCCATGTTTTGTTTTTGTCTTATACATGTTTTCTTACAACTAATAAAGTGAACAATTACCAATTAGAAAAAGGAATAAAATGCTAATACATATAAAAAACTAGTAGAATAAAAATCATACTCATTTAAAAATGACTTTTTACATCAAATAAAATAAAATAATGCTAAAAAACCAGAATACCAACATGGAGCAATTTGTCAATTTGTGCTTAGCTTTATAATTATATATGGTCATATACATGGTTTTCAAAACCGGATCGGACTGGACGGTCAAACCGGAAAAACCGAGAATCGGTCAGGTGACCGGTTCCGTTTTATCCAAAAACCGTTATTTTGCCAAAAAACATTGATTTGGTCAGCAAACCACTGACCCGAACATTCAAACTGTTCAGCTGTTTTGGCCTTTTTTTTAATGTTTTCATTTTTTGTCAAAGCAGGCCATCCGCTCGATTCGAATGGTCGAACCATGTGACCCAAGAAACGGACCCCTGAACGGTTCATTGTCTGGTTCGGTTTTAAAAACCTTGGTCATATAATAACTCCAAATTGTGCTTTAGGCTCCATTTTTTTATTGACCAGTAAAGGATATTCATTAATTGATGAAGTCCTGGGTTGTGTAATGTCTCAATGGCCTATGATCTATTTGGGGCTACCTTTGGGTGATAATCCGAGTGCTAGCTCTCGGAACCCAGTAGTTGAGAGATTTTTTTTTCTTTTTTTATCAGCAAAAGGAGAACCTTATTCAGTTAAGAGAATCAGTAACAGAATTACAGCAAGTAGAAAGCAGACATTGCACCACAAAGTGTCACAAGAAACCCCAGAAAAGTTGTTGCTTATTAACTCCCTGTTTGGCTTATGAACCAGCCATCCCATTTGCATTTCTCCTGATCCATGTGAACGAGGCATTGAGTTCCCTTGCTAGGCTTACAATCTTCCTTAGGGGATGTCCATAAATCCAAGGAGCATTACCCCTTGATCTGGTTCATGATATCACTATTTTTGAGTCCCCTTCTATCTCCAAGTTCTTAAGATCTGCTTGTTTGGCAAGTTTTAACCCCTGTAGCAGAGCTAATAGTTCAGCCTTTAAAGAATCACATTCCCCTAAAGGCCTTGAGTACATAGTAAATATTTGCTTGAGGAATCTCTGATCACACCACCAATGCCTGCCAGACCTGGATTTCCTATAGAGCTCACATCAAGTTCAACTTGACTTTATTGAGACCTGGGGGCTTCCACTCCATCACCTTTCCTTCTTTCTTCTCAAAAGTGTGTGCCACTTAATTCCATGCTCTTACTATATCAGTAATCGAGAAACTTTTAAAGAGATCAAGTGTTTTCACCCAATGTGCAACTCTTATCTTTAGGGCCTCCACTAGATCTTCTTTTGACCTATACTTCTTGTTGAAAATTCTTGCATTCCTTTCCTCCCATACAGTCCATACCATCGCTGCTCTAACTGATTTCCACATAACCCTTCCTCTTCTTGTTGGCTGCCCTAGAAAGTTTGGGTTGAAAAGGCTTACTACATCCTAGGGAGTACTCCACATACAACCAATGAGAGAACAAAAAGATTCACAAGCAAGGAGCATAAAAGGGCAATGGATCAGTAAATGGGGTAGGGATTCACATCTGCAGAACAAAGAATGCACGTATGAAGGGAGAGGCATTTATTTGGATTCCTTTTTTTGAAGCATGTCGCAGGTGTTCACCTTCCCAAGAAAAACCTCCCAGCATAGAGCTTGATTTTTTGGTGGAATGAGCTTGCTCCAAATCTCTTTCACCAGGAAATTCTCACCCCCAACAAGAGTTTGCACAAGAGTATTAAAAAAGGAGGCATAGGTAAAGGTGCCATCGGATGAAGTAGACCAAACTCTACTGTCCTCCAAAGATTGAACTAAGAAGGCTGACTTAAGTTCACCAAGCAAACAAAGGGACCCACACACATTATCCCTCAAACCCCTTCTGAACCCAAAATCCCAACTCGGTTCAAAGTGACAAAAACTGACAATTTGATATAGGTTGTAACTTGTAGTCAGAAACTGAATAAAGTTCAGGGAAAAGATCTTCCCAAAAGAGCACCCTAGAATCACAACACACATCAAATCTAATGGGATTAATAAAGATTGGATATACCTCTTGTATTTCTTTCCACGAAGAGCTCGAGGATGATGTGGGGGCTACCTTTGCATCCCCGCTGTTGTTCATCAGCCCATGAATGCTTTCTATCACTTTGTGCCATAGCATGTCTCTTTCCAAAGGAAACCTCCAAAGCCACTTTCCTAAAAGAGAAGTATTTCTGTGAACTAAGCTCCCCAATCCTAGACCCCCCTTTTCCTTTGTTTTGCCAACTTTTTCCCACTTTACTAGGTGATCCCTCTTTTCATCCCCAAGTTCCCAGAGAAAATCCCTTGTAAGTTTTTCTAATCGTCCTGCTACTCTAGCTAGAATTCTAAAGGTGAATAGGAAGTAGATTGGAAGATTTGTTAGAGCTGCTCCAAACAGACTATTCTCCCACCTCTGGATAAATAATTCCACTTCCACAGTGCAAACTTACTTGTAAACCTCTCCACCACTACCTTCCAAAAATACTTCTGATCTTGGATTCCCTCCCAAAGGTAGCCCCAAGTACTCCAATGGCCATTATTTAACCTCACAAACCTATAATCTCAGCTAGCACTCACAAACCTAATGAGCTCACGCGGATTCTTATAATCTCTTGATTGCCTCCCTCACATAATAAGATGATGTCATCTGCAAACTGCAAATGTGTGACATCTCAAGTCCTCCGATCCTCCATCCTCTAGAAAGGTTGCTTTGATCAGCCTCCACAATCATCCTACTTAGAACATCAACAATTACAGTGAAAAGGAAGGGAGAAAGCGGGTCCCCTTGTATCAACTCTCTCCGCTGGAAAGTAATCTCTAGCCACACCATTAATCATGATTGAGTATCGCACTAAACTTCCCTCCCTCAACATCCTCCACCGCTCCCCTAACCCAATTCTCCCCATAATTTCTAGAAGAAATGACCAGTCCACAAAGTCATAGGCATTCTCTAAGTCCAACTTGCACACCAAGCCCCTCCCTTTCCTCCTCTTCAGTGCTACAAATTCATTTGCCACCAAAACCTAGTCAATAATCTGTCTCCCTTCAACAAAAGCACCTTGATGATGTGATATAACCAAAGGTAATACCTTTTTTAGTCTCCCAGTGGTTGAGAGATGCACTAAAAGGTTGGCCTCTTGGAAGAAAAGTTGTCTGTCTTTGGAGGGTAGGATAACATTGATTAGGTCTACATTGGCCAATCTACTTGTGTACTATTTATCAGTGTTCAAAATTCCAAAAGGGGTGAGTAGAAGATCGGAAATTTTGATTAGAGATTTTTATAGGAGCTAGAAAAGAAGAAGAGGGATCATAGAGTACGTTGGGAGGTGGTGAATAGAAGTAAGAAATTCAGTGATCTAGGTGTAGGGAATATCTAGAAAAGGAATACAGCTCTTTTGGGCAAATGGTTATGGAGATTGCTAGTAGAAAAAGAATAAGTCGTGGGCAAAGGTGATTATAAGCATTCATAGGCTTGTGGATGACAAGTGGGATGCTGGACTATGGGCTAGAGCAACAAGAGCTTCACTCTAGAAATCCATCCATGATATTCTACTTGTGTCCTTACCTTTCATCAGATATAACCTATGGTCATGAAACCTTGTTCAATTCTAGGAACATATGAGCTTCACTCACCACTAAAGGATCAGTTTTCATCTCTGTTTAATTTGTCTTACCTTAGAGATGATCTTCTATCTTCTTTCTTGATGCCTTCTAGCTCAAGTGTTCTGGCTTTGCCTAGAACTTGGGGTTTAGGAGGGGGCTCAGAGATGCTAAATTAAGTAATGTTTGGGGCATCATCTTGCATCCTTTGGTTCTTTCTCCTACGCCTCCTTCTCAGCCTTAATCCAACCCCCAAATAGCTCTGTGGTACCTTTTCCTATCAAAGAGATATGGAACAAGCCTATTCTTCCTAAGGTTAGTGGTTTTGTTGGGAAGTTTACCTCGAAAGAATGAATACTTGTAATCCCCTTCAAAGATATGTGCCTTTCCCATAATTGGTATATCCTTTGTACGACTAATGTTGACACTTGCTACCACTTATTAATCTCCTCCCCCTTTTGTTTCTGCTATTTGGAAATGCTTTCTCTCTTTGTTTAGGTGTAGGTGGAACCCCCACTAAATGTACAAAGCTTGTTCAATTCTACCTATGACAACTGGAAAAAGAGAAGGGGGAGAATTATGTAGAGGTGTACAAGAGCGGTTGTTTGTTGTACAGTCTGGGAGGAAAGGAAACAAAGAGTTTTTTTTTCAGATAAAGAGTAGGGAAGCACTCATTGAAACCATTACCATCAGAGTGGTCCAATGGGTAAAATCTTTGAGCAGTTTTGAAGACATTTCCACTGATGACCTGCTTAGAAAGTGGAAGGAGGTGGCGCTCTCTCTCCCTGGTCCCCACCTACTTGTGGGTTTATCAAGCTGAACTTTGATGGTAGTAGTGAAGGGCACTCAGGTCCATCAGACATGGGAGGTGTTTTCTGGAATGAAGAGGGCAGAATTATTGCTTTCTACTCAGGCCCAATAGGTACGGGTGATTCATTGAGGGTCAAAATCATGGTTGTGATGGAAGGAGTTAAAAAAAGCAAAGGCGTTGAACATCAGAAGGCTGATAATTGAAGATTTCAAAATGTAATGGTTTTTGTTCTGATGTTGTTTATGGTGTTGCCTCGACACCTATCAAGGATGTACTACTTTTTTATTTAATCAAATTTCTTTTATTTGTCAAAAAAAAAATCATTGAAGGGGATTCAAAGTTAATAGTGAGATGGCTGCAAGATGAGACTGGTTGGTGGAACTATGTTAATGAAAGAAGGAAGTTCAAGTGGGTAACACAAAGCATAGAAGTTAAGCTGCAGTGGGTAAAAAGAAGTGCTAATTCTTTTGCTGATGCTTTGGCAAAGCAAAGGGTGGGAAGGGATCAACTTTTCTGGGTTGTGTGGTAATTTGTGTAATCAGCTGTCATCTCAGAGAGAGTTAAAAGAGTTTACCTCTCACTGTGGTGTTCCACTGCACCTCCTTTTCTTTATTAATGAAATATTTTTGTTAATGATCACAAAAAAGGAAATTCATGACTAAATTTGAAGTTAAATTTTAGTACAGCTGTTGTACCATTCTAACTAATCCCCAAAAGTAAGAATTTACATTTTTGCCCAGAACAAATGATTTCTATCCACCCCTTCTTTTTGCCAGTACATCTGCCAACCCATTTGCAGTTCTTTTAATCCATCTGAAGGTGATATTAAGTTCCCTTGCTAGGTAATCTATCTCTCTGAATGTGTGTATAATTCCAAGGTGCTGAATTACAATGCCTTGTCCAAGAAATCAATATATCAATAAATGCCTTGCCCAAGAATTACAATGCCTTTAGGCTTTGTTGTCTTTCCAAGCATATCAACAAATGTTTCAAAAAATTTTGGCAACATTTTAAATGTTAAGCAAAATCTACATTATTTTGACACAAAATTTCCAACATTTCTGAAATATTTTCTATTGTCAAGTAACTAGCATTTTTACAAAAAACCACCAGTTTAAACTTCAATTACCACAAGCACCAATGGAATTTAAAAATTGGAATGAAATAGGTAGAAGTGACGAATAGATTGTGAATTATTTGTCTAAAGAGTATTCCAAAATTTGCAATGCAACACTCTTGGGAGTGCGGAAACATATAGTATAGAGGGTAAGTTGAGGGAAGTTATACCTTTGGCTGTCAACAAGTCATTAAACAACCTTTTCTTCTCAGTGACAAGGGGAGAAATTCTTGCCTCAGTCTCAAGGGCAGCTTGATCTAAAATACACAAAAAAATTATGCATTATCAAATCAACACATAGACTATATAAAACCAAAACTATTTATCATTAAAAACAAGAAATAATGAAGGTTACTTTCATCAGTTACTTTAAGATCAATCACTAAAAGGTAAAGCAGAGTGCACTGTATAATCGTTGCCCCCAAATCAGGGAGGAATCATGAACCTTAGAAGAGGTTAGTAACAAGTACAAAGACAGAACCAAAAGCACTTAGGGAAATTTCCTACCCTGGAAGGTATACACCAAATACAATATGCTTCTCCCAAGTCAAAACCACTCCCCAAGCAAGACTCTTCCACTAGAGAATTAGCTGCCCTCCCTATTTGAGGTTGCAACTAAGTTAGTGCCCATGCATCCACCAGATGAGCATCAAAAAAGACATTAAATTAATGATAATAATGCAATCTCATATATGTCAATAGAGACTGCAAAAAAACATATTTAGTAGAAAACTAAGCATTCATCATCCTATTTTACAAAACATAAAAAGGATGGATGGGTAAACGTAGCTCATTCTTTTGCATTGCAAGGGTAGCCTTTTCTTCTTGAGAGGGGGGGGAGAAAGATTTGACTGTTTTATGTTGTCCTCTTGTTTGTGAAAACTTTTGTACAACAAAACAAACAGAATCCCAAATGAACTCTTGATGTAGAATTGGACATTTTATTAGAAACTGATGTTGGATCACCCATTCTGATACTAATTTATGTAAAACTGATGTCGGGTCACCTATTCTGATACTAAATGATGTAAAACCGACTGTTCTAAGAAGAGATCAGTTAGGTTAGGAAGGGCTTCAAGGCTTAACTGTCAGATTAATAAATTTGTCCCAAAATGGTGAAAAACTATGGTAAAATGCTAACTCAGGCCAACCCAATCTGCATCCCTAGTACTACCTTAAGACAAGCATAATTGATCTTGCCTCCTTCTTTTTCTTTGTTATGCAGCCATAGTAATGATAAGGTGCCCACGTTTTGATTTTTGTGACCTACGTGGGCACGTTATCACCTATCATGTTGATATAAGTCAAGGCATTCAGGTGAGGCACCCAACCGTGGGTGCCTAGTCAACTAGGCAAAACCTGGACAACACCTTGCCATCAGACTTAGCATAAGACGTAAGAACTCAAGGAAACTAAATCCATTTATCTCTTTCACGTTTTAGAACTTCAAAATATACATAGACACTATAATGGTGGCCAAACTAAAACTAACATAAATTACAGAATTGCCACTATCATAAGAAAATAATTCCTAACTTTCGACCAATGAGTAAAGCTTCAAACATAAACCAACTATAACTAGAAAAATCAAAATCTAAGGCTAGACACACAAACATGTAAAATAACCAAAATACCAATCTTCATCATTATCATCTAAGCCCTGTCCCAACTATATAGGTCAGCTACATAAATCCTATTTCACCATTCCATTCCGTTTGGTACCATATCCATTGTTAAATTAAAGTACTTAAATCATTTATTGCTACTTCAGCCCATGTACTTTTCAGCATGCCCCTAACTCTTCTGGCCTTAGCCTCTTCAACTTGTAACAGATCACTTTTCTCTTACAGGAACTATAAATGGTCTTCTAAGCCGATGACCAGACAATGTTAGTCAACTTTCTTCATTTTATCACCAATTAGAGCTACTCCTAGGTTCCTTCGATTGACCTCATTTTTTACCATGTAGGCTCAGTTTGGAAGGAGTACAAATACAAATATCTAGAGTGCACAACCTTGTATTTTGTATGTATTTGTATTTGTACTCTTTCCAAACTGAGCCATCATTTTATAGTTTTTCCATCCATCCATCTCAGCATTTGCATTTCTACCACTCATTTTTTGGACATGCTGTTTCTTGACTGCTGAACACTACTCCATACCACTTTTTCCTGATAAATTTATACTCCATACAACATTACTGGTCATAGAACTGCTTTATAGAATTTTCCTTTCAGCCTAAGTGGCATTTGCTTTTCACATAAGACTTTTTTTTTGATGAATTGCTTTTCACATAAGACTAAGAATACACCCCTTTAATTTTGCCCATTCTGCTCTCGTTCTATGGGTGGCATCCTCCTCAACTCTCCCTTATTATGAATTATTGAATCAAGGTAATGGAAGTGGTCAAATCAAGTTATCTCTTGGTATCCAATCCTAAATTTACCATGATTTGCACTCCTACTAAATTCATGTTGCATATATCATGTTTTATTCCTACTTATCTTAAAGCCTCTTCTTTATAAATTATTTGTCCATAAACCTAATTTTGCATTTAAGCCTTCACTAGTTTTGGCAATTAATACTATGCCATCAGCAAACAACAAGCATCATGGGACCTCTTCCTGAATATGTTTAGTTAATTCATCTATGACTAGTGCAAATGAATATAAAATCTGATGACTCACTCCCACAGGTGTACAAACATTGGTTGTTGCACTCTCATACATATCCTTTATTAGGCCATATACCTTTTTAGAACTTCTTTCCTTCCCAAAAGCCCACCATATTATCTCTCTAGGTACTCTATCATATGCTTTCACTAGATGAATACCATATGAAGATATATAAAGGCAAGAAAAAACTTTTTGGAGCTAGAGAAGAGAAAGAATGAATGTGACGAAGGGTTGGAGGCTGAAGAGGAGTTTGAAGAGACTTGATCGATTTATAATCTCAATAAGGTTTAAAATTCCATAATGTGGGGATGGGTCAAAGGGCTTTTTAGTGAAATTTGTTCTGCTTGCGTTTGATTATAAATTTGTAAGGGCATAGGGAATGGCAATGTTAGGTGTTCGAGGGTTCGAGGGTTCATCTGAAATGGGGCTTGGTGTATTTGTTTTGAGGGGTTCTCTAAGTGGGGTAATGCCTTATCATCTGTCACCTTGTATCCTCTTTTTTTTCTTTTTAATAAATTTTTGTTTATCATAAAACGAAAAGGCCATTACCAAATGTTGGATTCAGCTATCTAAGGTCTTGAGAGGGGTAGTGGGTACAGTCCTAATCATTGGATTTTCTTTTTTTTGAACAAAGTGGCCACCCTCAAACTGGAACCAATGTTCTAATTCTGACCAGCCCAAGATTTTAATAGAACACAGTATGGAGATATCTCTTCTCTCTTAACTTCACTACCAACTGTCTTAATAGATGGGTGACTTCCATGGTTTATCTCCCTGACATAAACCCAAAATGATTTTCCAATATACTTGTTTCATGTTGTAATCTTTGCTCAATTATTCTCTCCAAAAATTTCATATTGTGGCTCATAAGTTTAATCCCCTATCATCTAAAAGCACAAAATACACAAATTTTAGAAAATTCCATATTTGGTCCCTCACCAATTACATACCATCACAAAAATTTTAGAAAATTCCATATTTGTCTGGCATATGTCATAGTCATACTATTTTAAATAGTTAGAAATAAACACAAACAAATAAGACTTTCAAAAACATTGTTATCCTTGTCATTAGTCAACTAATTCAACGTAATTAATGCTTAGTCATCCCAGGCAATGTTTTAAACCGAGTCTGGAGGCTGACCCATTTTTCTTCCCAGGTAACAGTTCACCAGTACCACCATCCAAGTTGAATTGGTCAAACCATTTGATCAATGTAATAGATCTAGACCATTAGATTCAAATAATATTTCAGATTTTACACTACATACATACATAATGAAATATTTGAGAGAGAGAGAGAGAGAGGGAGAAGAGAAGAAAAGAGAATGTTAAAGAGGTGGTTGTGAAAGAAGAAGAGGAGGTGGTGATGATGGAGGTGGCAGCAATGACAATGGTGGCTTAGATAGAAGAAGAACAAGAAGAATGAAAGTTTTTCTTTCACACTCTCTGTTTCTCTCTCTTAGATTTTCAGGTTTGATTGTTTAGTTGGCTAGTTGGTGAGACAAATTTTAATTTTTAATGGCCAAATAAACATTTTTAGGTTTGACTAGTTCGTGAGTTTTAGTTTTCAATAATAAATCATGTTGTTTTGATAAATAATAGGAATTTTATTACTAAATAAGAGAGAAACAAAAAAGATACACCAATAGGACATCCCAACCAAAGGAGTAATAAACAGCCTCAGAACATAATCATAAATTGAACCCTGTTCACCCCTTGCTTGGTTAAACCATCAGCTAGCTCATTTGCCCAATAATCAAATCATATTAGCAAAGAGATGGTGCAAACCATGACCCATCACTGGGCTTGAAGGGTTCAACAATTCAACTGTCCAGGTAGCAAGTGAAAAGATTGGTCCCAAAAGACTGCATCAAGGATGTCAATTCACTGGTGAATGACGTAGTCAGTATAGTCCTCAACTAGTCATACTTTAGTAGCATCACCACTGCCATTATCATTCAATGGACCATGATACAAATGGAGTGGGGAAAATTCTGTAAGTTTTCAGAATTTTCTGCTTAGGTCCAAATGGTAAGGCATATATAGAATAAATGAGCACAAGAGAAAATAGTGCCAATCATCAATACTCAAATTCTAGCAAACAGTGTTGATGAGGGCAGATTTGGCCCTCCACTGACATCATGACACATGGCATCTCATAACAATTGGATGACATCTCAGCATCACCTAGGCGATGACTTGCCTTAGCCAAAATGATAGAGTCCCAGCTAGCAACCTACCTGCCTCTACCGCCGACCTAGGACCTACCTCCACCACCAACCTGGCGACCACATCTACAACTCAGGCCCCTTAACGTGCACGGATGGCTAGCAACACCTCGTCCAGGGTCGACTTGTGGTACCTCGTCAGTACTGATCGAAGTGACCTCGACGTGAGGAGCAACCTCCCTCGAAGGGCTTGCCGACCTGGCTGAGGTCCAGGTGGTGACTTGCGAGATGTGCTCGCCGGCCAACTCTACATGCATCCCGTCACTCCTGGGTCTCTCAGAAAGCTCTCACACCGAATGATTTAGAGGAAACCGAGTAAGGCGCAAAGATTGGCCTATGTGCACAACTATTTCCGAGGACTTCGAACCAATTAGGCACGTCTTCCCGGAGATCCCGAACATGGTGTGTGATGCCCACGCCAAACAATGCCTATATAAAGGCCTTACCTCCAACCTCAGAAGGTACATGTGCAATTTAGTTCTCGCAGCTCTCCAGCTCTCTCATATTTAGCTATCTTAAAAATTTCTGATTCGCTGACTTAAGAATCGGAGTGTCCACCCCGGGTAAAGCAACCCGGGCACTCTGACACGTGTTTCCTTGCAAGCTGCACCAGTAAACTATGCAGCTAGCCACCTTCAACTAGGGACAGTTCAGCTAGGCGTCAGAGCCACCTTCAGCTAGGGACAGTTCAACTAGGCGTCAGAGCCACCTTCCAGGTAGGGACAGTTCAGCTAGGCGTCAAAGCCACCTTCTAGGTAGGAACCATTCAACTAGGCGTCCAGGCCACCTTCCAGCTAGGAGTCCAAGCTGCGTTCCAGGTAGGGATTGTTCAACTAGGCATCCAAGTCACTTGCCAGCCGGGAGCTGCCAAAACCCGCATCATCAAGTGCCACTATCTCAAGGAATGCTATCTATCTTTCCACAGAAAAGATGAAAGAAATGAGTAATTTTTTCCCAATGTATTAGTTCATATGATTTTAAGATCCCTTAAAAATTCAAGCAAGCAAGTGAACATTCAATAAACCAAGCACAAGCATGTGATGCCTAAAATAATCTATTAAAAAAAGATGTGGTGCCTAAAATACGAACTATTGATTAAATGGAATTAAGCCCTATAAACAACAAGAATTTAAAATCAAAGTTACATAGGATCAGAGGCATACTCCTATATCATCAACTTATTGATCAGTAATAATAAAGGTCCTTCAAGATCATTGATGTGTTCCATACACGATACACCACAACCAGTTCCTTACCTAGTTTTCGAGCCCTATCAGCAAGCACACCAAGATAGCGTGTAACACGATCAAGTTTTGCATTAGAATACTCCTGCAGGTCACTGGCTTCTTGTCTCAACTCCAAGCAATCTTCTCTTGCACGCTACCAAGAAGATGTGACAAGATTATTTATGATTTGAAATGATTTTAGAAACAAGATAATAGTGAGATTCATGATGGAAAACAAATCAACTACAGTCTGAACCTGTTTTACAATAAGAAGTTATAAGAAACAAATATAACAATCTGGATAAGAAAAAGCAAAATTCAAGTCCAAAGTAGTCCTTATAAAGTTTCTCAAGTTTCCATTGACCAATGGATGGAATGCAAATTTGGCGCATAGAGCCTCTTTGGCATCCCCTTGCAAAACCATTCCAAATATCCTCCCCCCCCCCTCTTTTTTACTGTACATTAGGTACAATGTCTGCTTTAGGAATGATACAAAATTAAAGGAAGATTTAATTATGGGAGAGGGGGCAGCTTTCTTCTTAAGGGCCTTGTCCATGACCTTTTCTCCATTTCCACTAGTAAAGATAAACCTGTTTGTCACTTCCCTCCCACTTCCAACTCTGGAATTATACTTGGGATTACAGATATAGACAAGGGCTTAGGGATTGTGAAAAGCTACTGAAGTTAACCTTCTTAATATCCTTGATGGGGTTTTTCTGGACACAGCAAAATCACGTTGCAGCATCTGAACCTTCAACCCTTCAGGATTGTTCACTAGTACTATTTTCTTTTCAGCTATCTCTTCCTCATCTAATCTTCTGCAAGCCTACACCACCTAAAATCGAGGCTTTATGTTGGGACTTGGGAGGTGACACATATGAAAACCAACACAAAGATCCTTAAAAGTGGAAACCCTATTAGTGTTTTTTTATAATAAACCCTGTTACTGCTTATTTCTATATATTTGTTTTCTTTGACTCGCAAGCAGCAAAGCTACCTATTATCTACTAGTCTCCTGCCCATTTGTCTGTAGTATTTGGATTTGATTTTTTTTCTCTCTTTTGGCTGCTGGTGCCCCCTTCCCTCAGCAGTGGAAGGTCACTTTAGCTCATCTTTTTTAGCATTTGGCCACAAAGAGAGGTAGAATATTGTGGAGAAGGACAAGAGCAATAACCTGTGGTTAGTGTGAGAAGAGAGGAATGCAAGAATCTTTCAAGGCAAGACAAGAACCAAAGAAGAGATCATAGAGAATAATACAATTACAGTGGTGCATTGGGTCAAAACACAAAAAGAGTAAGCCCCCTTAACTATAGATTATATACTAAGGGGGGTAGGCAGCAGGTGGCATCATCAGCAACAACCCATCTTTCAGAAATAAAGATATAGCTGCCACCAATGCAAAAAATGATTCAACTAAAGTTGTTTTTTTTTATAAGTAACAACTAAAGTTGTTTTTTCTTCTCCATTCACTATTACATGAAAGAATTTAGTATTACCATCTCCCTCCTTGGACATTTATAATTTAGCTTTTATCTCTAACCAATCACTTTTCTAAAAAGAATATCTTCCAAGTCTCTCTTTAGTATCCTTCTTCCCTCCCTCATTATCATTATCATGCATTTGTCCCCAGGCCTCCTTAATGTCCAATTATTCAATCTTCCCATTATTCTTTCTCTCTCCTCTATCCTCCCAAAATGATCCGGTTTTTCTTTTTTTTTTTGATAAATACCCAAAATGATCTATATTCCATTCCTTAGTTCTTGCCTTTAGCATTTGGAGTTTATTATAGAACTTGATTCCTTTTCATTTAACTCTATTGACCTCTTGTCCCCACCATTCTTTCACTTTATCAATGAATTCCGGATGACGGGGTAGCCACATGTTTTCAAATCTTAAAGGTGATGGGCCTCTCACCAAATCTTTTAAGCCCAGTCTAATAGGACTACGGTTAGAGGCCAATCGTAGCAATGCTCTGTCGAGAGTATAAGGGAATTTTCATCCTTTTCTATGTTTTTTGTATTAGGGCACCTAGTTATGGACATTTTTGTAATTTCATCATTATGTTCAAATACAAAGTTTCTGGATGTGAACAATAACACATCTCATTCTCTCGACAAACTCTTCTTCTCCTTCTCCTCTTCTCTTCCTTTCTTTTCTTTTTCTTCCTCTCTTTATCACACAATCTTTTGTAACTCGGTA